CCACAGAGACTGGCGAAACGTTAGGAAGAACAACCTTCAGAACACGGCCAAAGAGCCCGAAAAACCCACAACAACCATTAGATCCCGGCCGTGAAAGCCTTCATGAATACATTGATCAGTTCACAACTGATCAGTTTCTCAGAACTGTTTGCGAGGCTGGGTGAGACAGACCCAGAAACGTGTTTTTCTGTTATTATTAGATTAGAAGTGAGGGCCAAATTTGACCTCAAGTCTGGAGTTCTGGAATTTTCCCCCTGCAACATCTCTCACCAAGCTTGTTCTGGGTTATCAATGTGATGTGTGTCCCCCTCAGTTGTCCAAATACAGAGTCGCTGGGCAGAACTTTGGACATCTGTGAGAAGAAGAGCATCTGCATCCCTCTGTCTCCCTTCCCATTTCTACATTGAACCAAGATGTCACATCTCCAACCCATCCCACTTTGAGCTTTGGCCCTGCCCACTTTAGCACGGATCCCACCCCCTGTTTGAACAATTTTCAACTGGAGGAATATAGATTCTGCCAAAAAAAGGGGGGGGTTTCACAGCTGGGCCTAGATTTTTTAAAAAATTTACATGAAGAAACTTCCACAGTGCTGTGTTAAAGAATTAAGAAATTTCTAAAGAGCACAGAAGATTTCTAATTCTTTAAATGATGGCCTTCTGCTGAGATTTTCCCCAAAAGGTGAACATATTTATTCCAAGTTTTGCCATTCCCCACCAACTCCACCTTAACAGTTCCAACATAACAGCAATACAGGTTGGTAGAAAGTGGTTAAGGAAGGACACATAAACCACAAAGACATGCACAAACTATATATCTAACTTCCATCAAGGTTAGCATACTTACTCTGAGAAGCATAAAGCTCTTCTGTCATCTTATCTTCGTGCCCATCAAACTCTCTGCTGGCTAGCTGCCTGTTGGCCGTCTCTAATCGTTCTATGCAGAAAAAGAGTACAAATATGCATGTCTGAAACAGACTGCCATCTTCACAAAAGAAACATGCCAACAGCTGGTATTTCTCCTTAAAATGACCCAAGGTGGATGACATCATTAAAAGACTATATAAAGCTAACAGCAGTGAGTAAACAAATGCTAAAAAGGATGAAACAAATACGATACAGAAAACAAAATAAAACATAAGCAACTTACAAATGCTAAAAAGGATTAAACAAATACGATACAAAAAAAACATAAGCAACTCCAAAACCTGTTCAAAGCAGTGAGGTACAACAATCCATTAAAAACTCCACTTAGGTAGCCAGTCACTGAGGGAAAGCTTGCCTGAAGAGAAAGGTCTTTGCCTGCTTGCAGAAGGATAAAGAAGAGGGGGCCAGCCTAAATTCCTGTGGGAGGGAGTTCCAAAGTCTAGGAGCAGTCACAGAGAAGGCCCTTTCCGGTGTCCCCACCCAATGTACCTGTGAATGTGGTAGGATCGAAGAAAGGCCTCTCCTGATAATCTTAACACTCAAACAGGCTAATAAAGTGAAATGTGGTACTTGAGATATAGAAAAAACATCAGACTGAAGTAGAAGAGGAGGCATATCAGGCTAATAAAGTGAAATGTGGTACTTGATATATAGAAAAAACATCAGATTGAAGTAGAAGAGGAGGCATATAAAACAACAGAAATAGTAAAAGTGATTTCACAGAGACCACGAAGAAGAACAACAGAAATAGTAAAAGGGGCAGGGGGAGAGGAAAAGTGGAAAGATGGCCATCTACATTTTCCATCGAATCATAGATATGTAAAGGATCCCAAGGTCACAGAGTCAAAGCTGAAATCTACAGATCAAGCATCTCTGACAGGTGGGCATCTAATTTCTGCTTAAAAACCTCCAGTGAAAAAGTGTCCATCACCCTCTGAGGCAGTCCATTCCATGGTTGAACAGGGTGGCAGGACTGAATGGATGCCCCACAGCCCCCTTGCACCGAACACCTCAAAGCCCATGCGTAAGCTTTGTATGGAAGAATAGCCTAAAACATATGGGGTGCTTTTAGTGGCCTGATTACAAATAATAACAAATTGCACTTGGGAATTATGTGCACAAGACCCGAGGAGTGTATCTTGGTGTTCCCTCTAGCACAGCTGTGAGAGAATGTCTTCTTTAATGTTATGTTTCCACATGGATAAGCTGCGGCTATATGGTTTTGAAGTCCAGACTCTTTGGACTTCAATGCCAATATTATAGTTTAACTGTCCAGGAGCGAAGGATTATAGGAACTAAAGTCCAAAACATCTTGAGATCAGGAGAAAAAGGCTGATATTTATTTATTTATCATTTCAATTTATATCCCGCACCATCTGGCAACCAGGCCACTCTGGGTAGCTAACAACAATATAAAGGGGAAAAATTAAAAAATGATAAAAATAAATTAATAATTAACAAATAGGGAAATTAAAACAGATGGCAGTAAAGATGGTAAAAAGGGTGATGGAGAGGATGGCAAAAAGAAAGGTAAAGAGGGAGGGTAAGATCCTAGTGCTCCGGGAAAGCTCCAGGATCCTAGTGAATCTGTCCAGCAAGAGTGCCTGGTGAATCTCAGTAGCATGTTGTTCCATAGGTGGGGGGCAACCACCAAGAAGGCCCGGTTTCTTGTTCTTTCCCTCCGGGCCTCCTTCGGGGTCAAGGCCCTCAACCACCCTGCCTGTGAAGAATGGGTATTACGGACAGATCTGGCCGGGATTAGGTGTTCTGATTGGTACTGAGGTCCTAGACTGTCTAGGGCTTTGAATGTTATCATCATAACCTTGAAGTCGATGCGGAAATGAACTGGTGACCAGAGTGGGGGAGATGTGCTGGAATTTTTTCACCCCAGTTAATCATCTGGCCACCGAATTCTGGGCCAGTTGAAGTCTCCGCATCAGCCTCAAGGGTAGCCCCACGTAGAGAGCATTGCAGTAGTCTATTCTTGAGATTACGAGGGCGTGAATCGGCATCGTGAGTGCCCCCATGTCTAGATAGGGATGCAGCTAGGCAATCCTCCAAAGATGGAAATGGGCTGCCTGGACCACAGATGCCACCTGGGTTTCCATGGTGAGATCCAGGTCCAGGCAGATGCCCAAGCTGCGATCCTCACTCTTTGTGGGAAGAATCACCCCCACAAAGGAGAGGGAGTTTCCCAACCCACTGACGCCAGGGCTGCTCACACGCAAGACTTCCGTCTTCTCCAGATTCAGCCTCCGTCCATTTGCCCTCATCCACCCAAGAAGCGTTCGAGGGACAGAAGAACAGCATCCACTGCAGTTGGAGAAAAGGAGAGGTAGAGCTGGGTGTCATTAGTGTACTAATGAAACTGATGTCAAGCTCCACAACTCCGGATGACCTCGCCCAACAGCCTCATATAGATATTAAATAGCATTGGCAAGATGATTGACCCCTGCAGAACCCCAACAACTGAGGATCCACGGGGTGGAAGTCACCTCACCAAGCTGAACTCTCTGGGGAGAGTCCTCCAAGAAGGAATGGAGCCACGCCAAGGTGAGACCACCAATTCCCAACTCAGAGAGCTGCCCCAGGAGGATACAGTGGTCGATGGTATCAAACGCGGATGAGATATCAAGGAGGATCAACAAGGACATATTACCCCTGTCGGCCTCCCTCAGGAGGTCATCCTGCAGGGCCACCAACGCTGTTTCCGTACCATGTCACAGCCTGAAGCCCGACTGGAACGGATCAAGGGCATCAGTTTCCTCCAGGAGGGCTTGGAGCTGATTGGCCACCACCCTCTCAACCACTTTACTCATAAAACAAACACTGGCAACGGGCCTATAATTCCCAATTTCATCTGCCACCAAATTAGGTTTCTTTCTAATGGGCCTAAATGAGTGTCTCCTTGAGGGCAGGGGAACCATGCTCTCCTGCAGAAACCCATTAATTATTGCTGTGGCCCATTTTGTTGTTACCGGCTTGGCTGCTTTGATGAGCCAGGTCGGGCAAGGGTCTAAAGAGGAGGTGGTGGCGCGACAGCATACAAGCACCCTATCCAACTCACTGGACGTCACAGGTTGAAAGCAAGTGAACCTCGCCGGGCAAGACAATGCACTAGACATCTCAGCCCGATCTACTATCTGTAAAAAGGGATCAAGGTCCCGGCAGATGGCCTCCACTTTAGATTCAAAAAATGCCGCAAATTGGTGTGGCCTATCACTGTGGCCAACTCCAGATAGATTGCGTACTATACAGAAAAGTACAAGGAAGGGTTTTATTCCCAACCTTGATTTGTCTCCACTAAAGCAGGGAAGGGAAATTTTGGCTCTCTGGGTGTTTTGGCCTACAAGTGCAATCTGCCCCAATCAGCAAAGCCAATGGTTATGGGCTGAGAAAGATACACTCAAAAATATCAGGATGGTCACAGTTGCCTGCCCCTGACCTAAAGTATAAGGAAGTATAACACTAACCACAGTTCTTGTTTGGATGAATGGTATAATTTCAGGCAGTCATAAGCAGAATTGAAAATTTCCAATGCCCTGCTCACCACCAGACTGGAGAGAGGAGTGTGCAAACTTGTCAGGTCCACTGGACTAAAATGTAGCTAAGTATTACACCCAAGGACCATCTTGACAGAGTTACAGGCAGGGAGAAAGTTAAGTCCATTTTTTCCCAGTCAGGAGCAGAAAATTCTTTGGGGGCACAACCTACCCTAAGTAATTCTCTGCAAGTCTGATGAGAAAGTTTCTTCCACCTTTTACGTGGTTACAGAATGTGACTGTTCAGGAGCAAAATAGAAAGGCAATGAAAACCGAGAAGGCCATCTTAAAAAAGGACATACCACGCAAGTCCCTGTTGAAGTCATGGAGCCTTCTAATTTCTCCTTCAAGTTTGTTTCGCATGGCCTTGTCCAAGGACTCTCTCTTGGTGGTAGTCTTCACCAGGTCCTCGTAAGCTTCTGAAATCTTTTGGATTTCCATTTCAAACTGAAAAGAACGACACAGAAACAGACATCTCATTGAGAGCTGGACAGGGATGGATGTCAGTCACTGGCCTGAGATTTCTGAAAGAGAGTTTTTGTGCGGTGGCCAGAAACAAGTGCCAACTTTCACACTAGCGCAATTCTGCAGGAAGAATTCTCCCACAGTGACACCAAAGTGGAACTCCTCTCCATAACCCCACTGCTGCTGAAAGCAATCAGTTCCCCATTCAGTATAGAAACCCATGATTACACAACTGCCTCTGGGGCACAGCATGTTTTTCCGTCTGAAAAATCCCAAATTCTGGCATCTCCAGGTAAAGCAGAAAAGGCCTCTGTTTAAAACTAGTGCATGAAAATAACGGGCTACAATGCACAACATGCTTTACTTTGCGGGGGGGACAAGCAGGGGGGCAAGATGGTCCTTTCAAAAGTAACATCATCACTAGTTCCACTATAATTATTTTTTTAATGTGGGCAAAAATCTTGCTTGTGCTGTTCGGCTAATGTAAACCGGATCAGATCAGATTGCTGGAAAAAATACATTTAAATTAATTTAAAGCTTTTTATCCCTGTCTCAGCTTCTGAGGCTCCATAGGGACCCCTTTTGCTCTAGGGAAGCGTTTGGGAGGCTCAGGATGGTGGGAGTTCTAGTTAAAAAATGACCAACTGCACTACTCATAAAGGCCCAGAAAATTTTGCTGTGTTGATTCATCACACAAGGCAGAAAAGGCAACCTCCTGCTCAAAGGAAACCCATTTTCAATACGGGACTTCCTAAGGCTTTTTGTACAGGGAAGACAGAGATGATGCAAACTTTTGTGCAAAATGGGCTGCCCTCGATGTGAAATGAAAATATGCAACTGGACACTTCCCAACCAGCTAAGAAGCGACAATTAAAGAGGACGGCAGACAAGCCGACAAAGTCAAACCCCTGCCAGCTAGTTCAGGAAAGGAAATAATGCCGACAAAAGCTGGGGACCCCCTTTTTGGCAAGGAATAAATCACGGCTGTATAAACATAGTGAGCTGGGCTAGAATATGGCCAGCACTGGGAAAACGCTGCCAGATAGAAAGGCAGTTCAAGCTCCACGAAACAGCACTGCAATAAATTTAGCCTGAATTCTGCTGTGTATCAGACATCATCCGAATCATCACCACCACATATGAAAATAATGTTCCAAGTAAGTAATATAATGATATGGAATAACAGTGTTCAAACATACAAGGAAGAAAGGGACCCTGATCTGTAACAGACCAGTAAGGACATCATCATCATCATCAATAAGGGTCTCTCCTATCTCAAAATTAGATCACCAAAATGAATAAGAACTGTAGTGACCAGAAGAGGATTTGAGTGAAGAAAGATTTTGAATTCTTGTCTGTTCTTCAGGTACAAATATCTGGTGTCAAAACTCTTTTATTCTCAATGTACACCTTTTATAAACCTAAAATCGGAAAAGTCCTGTTCTGGTCCAACTCTGCCAGCCTTCACCAATTGATGTCCTCTAGAATCCAGCATCCTTGACCACAGGCAATGGTGACTGGGGCTGATGGGCATTAAAGTCAAGAACAGATGGAACATGCAAGGGTAGGGGAAGTTTAAATAGACAAGGCTATTCTTTCTACCCAGTTAACTGAGCAATACCTCTTTTATCTCACTGACAAACAGCAAACAGCAAACAGCAAACATAGGAAGCTGCCTTATACTGAGACAGACCATTGAACTCAATCTTGCCAACCTGACTAACAGCAGCTCTCCAGGGTTTCAGAAGGTATTCTTACCTACCCTCCCTGGTGACACCAGGGACTAAGCATAGGCTCTTCTGTTCATGCAAAGCGTGTGCTTTATGGCTGAGCTGCAGGAAAAGGCCCATCCCTCTCTGTCATGCCACAGTACCTTCTGAAGCTTGTCTGCTTTCTCGTAGTAGCCCTCCAGCTCCTTCTGCAAGGCCTCGTTGTCTTCTGAAAGCATCTCCACCATTTGCTGGGCTCGTTGCACAATGGTAAACGCATCTGGTGTGAGCTGTTGCTGTTGTTGGCTTGGCGGAGTGGCAGGCAAGGACTGGGATGCTGTGGTCATTGAGAGAGGAGGCAAAGACGTGGAGTGCAATGGGCCACTCAGAGAGGAAGCTTGCGAGGACATCGGACTGTGCTGCTGCTGTTGCTGCTGCTGTGCTGGCATTGGTGAAAAAGATGGCTGGCACTGACGACTAGACAGAAAAGGCAGGAGGCAATGATTAATCAGACAACTGATTTTCAAGGGAGACAGGATGTGAATGACACATGGGCATGAGACTGGTAGAAGTGAGTGCTATTTCTTCTTAACACAGTAACAATACCTGATATGGACTCTATAATATAGCATCATGTACCTGATGCTTACAGGCAGTGCTGGCCCAAGCCATTTTGCTGCCTGAGGCAAAGCAGTAGATGCCCATCCGCCTGGCTTATCAAGGTAAATAAAACCAGCTAAGCTAGACCGGCAAATGAGGCAGATAATGCCAGAAGCTCCTTTCCCCCTGCTTGCAAGTAAATATATTATAACATTAAATACCTAACCGTTCGCTGTCCTTTCATGACATGTAACATTTGCAGCCAACCCCAAAGACCTTACAGAGTATTCCATCATAGGAAAAGAGAAGGAAAAGAAAAGGAAAAAAAACAGAAGGGAAGGAAAGGGAGAGACCAACATTATAATAAATAAATGCCTGCAAAGGCAGTCCCACCTACTTAACCTTTATTGTAGATGAGAGACATTCCTTGCTCTTAAATTCTGTATCCAGAATTGAAAAATTAAGTCAAATCTCAGTAAGTATTAGAAATCTTGTTCTGCAACCGCTCTAGCTGCTGAACTATCAGCAAGAATTATCCATTCTATCTCTGTAGCAATAAGGGCTACAAACTTGGCTTCTTCTCATTCTTCTTTCTACAGATTCAAAAATCCAAGGCACTCAGACAGCAAACTGCGAAGCACATAGGCCGGCTGGCTGCAGTCTTCCCCACTGCAACAATGTGATATATCCTATTTCTATTAATGTCTAGAAATATTTCTCTCTTTTCATTTCATTCAGTTTATTTATATCCCACTTTTTTTCCAGTAAGAGGATTGAAAGTTGCATAAAAATATTTCTAAATATGCATCTACACATATAAATCCGCGTACACAGATGTTATACAATTCTTTGTGCTCTTTTTTTGGTGATGCACTTCCTCTTTTGAGATGATGATTAAATTGCTACTCTGAACTGCAGAATTCATTTGCTTGAAAATATTTCTAATTATGCATCTACAGTCGTGACTCGCTTTATGATTGCCCCGCATTATGACGAAACTGCATTATGACGATCTTTTGCGATTGCAATTGTGATCGTAAAACAATGGTCTAAATGGGGTTTTTTCGCTTTGCGATGATCGGTTCCCTGCTTCAGGAATCGATTCTTCACAAAACGACTATTTTAAAACAGCTGATCGGCGGTTTCAAAATGGCCGCCAGGTAAACAAAATGGCTTCCCGCTGTTTTCTGGGAGAGATTAATCGCAAGACCGGCAGCGAAAACGGCTGCCCTATGGAGGATCTTCGCTGGATGGTGAGTTTTGACCCCATTGGAACGCACTGAAAGGGTTTCAATGCGTTTCAATGGGGTTTTTTTCCGCTTTACAATGTTTTCGCTTAACAGCGATTTTCCTGGAACGGATTATCGCCGTTAAGCGAGGCACCACTGTATACATAATATATAAGTACAGGTGAACATTTTGAAATATTTTCTGCCATCCTGAGTCCCTTTTCTGGGAGAAAAGTGGAATTTAAATAAACAGAAGGAACTGAATGAAATGTTTCTGAACATAAATAGAAACAATGATCTCTCACATCATCACAGTGCAGGAGACTGCGTCAAGCTGACCTGAGTGTCTATCTCTAGTCCAGGTGCTTTCTGTGCAAGGCTAACTTCTACTTATTCTGGTTCTTTACTTTTAAACTGGATGAGAGCTGGCTAGCCTTTCAAATAGTGGATTTCTTCAAATAAAGTTGTCCTATCTAAAGTAGGACACAATCATCCTCTCTGCCACTGAGACCACATGTTGTACTTTTCTTGCTCTTGTTTGGAACTTCAGGATCCATGTAGCCTGTTTTCTTTTTCTTTTTTTTAGCAGATGATCAAAAAAAGGAAGACCGGCAGACAAAAAGTAGGGGGAGGAAAGGAAAGGCATTCCAATATGGAAGTAAATCAGTTCTCAAGCCAGCACTGAAAGGTCTCATAATTAGTATGAAAATTTATCCTACATAAAGCTTGGAAAAGTTACTATCTGAATTACAAGAATTCATGCAAGTTTGGGGGGGGGGAATTTACGGTCCAAAAAAGTAAGTTTACCAAGTTATGTATTTGTATAGGCAGAAAGTGAGGAGGAATTAAAGAACCTCGTAAAGAGGGTGAAAGAGGAGAGCGCAAAAATGGTTTCAAGCTCAACATCAAAAAAACTAAGATCATGGCAACTGGTCCCATCACCTCCTGGCAAATAGAAGGGGAAGAGATGAAGGTTGTGACAGATTTTACTTTCTTGGGCTCCCTGATCACTGCAGATGGTGACAGCAGCCACAAAATTAAAAGACACCGGCTTCTTGGAAGGAAAGCGATGACAAACCTCGACAGCATCTTAAAAAGCAGAGACATCACCTTGCCAACAAAAGTCCGAATAGTCAAAGCTATGGT